TGGGGGGAAAGACCGCCCCGCGCAGTGCTGTGGCTGCCGCTCGGGGCCTACCCAGGGTACTTCTCACCTGCCTGCCACGTGCTTCTGAAGACAGCAGGGCTAGAAATCCCTAGGAACCCGGCTGTGCTGCTGAGTGAGGAAAATCTTGCAGAACGCGCTGGCTCCCCACCATGGGAGGGCCCCGGGGGGCAGGACAGCCGCTGCGGGGACACTGCTCACGGAAGAGGTGGTGACATTACAGGAGGATGCAACTCTGATTCAAGCACCATGAAATTTTGTCAAGCAAAAATAGTCTTTATTCAAATTTAATGGAAACAGGGATCACTATACTTTGCAAGACAGGGAAAAATAAAATTAAAAAAAATTCTTCTCTTTTTTAATATAAAACAATATAGTCACAATACCAGAACGTGGAACTCTACAGCTGACTCCCTATGGGCACTGCAGGGTCGATTCTCCTCGACGGTGCTATTCGACAACTCTGTTAAGTCCAAAAGTGTGAGACCGAAGTGGTGGGAAACTTAAGACTTAGCACTTTCACTAAATGGCATACACCGAAGGGCATCAACTCAAGGGCAAAAACGGCTGAGCTCACATACCCACCTAGCCATCGTTCCAGCCTTGGGGCTGCGCGGGCACCGAGCTCCCGGAGGGCAGGCCAGGCCTGGCAGCCAAGGCCTGGGACACTACCGCAGGCCTGGGCCGTGAGTAAGGGGAGGTTTTCCAAGAGGTTTGTTTTCAGTCGAGCAGGAAGGCCTGGTGCCAGGAGGCTTTACTGAGAGGAAGCACTGAGATTGGACAAGTACAGACACACCACCGGGCAGTTAGAATGTACAGCGGGGACGCGGGTCCTACTCCCACCACTTGTGCTACGCTACCAAACCTGTACAAAAGCGCTCCCAGCAGTCCCAGCCGCGGCCGGCCGTTAGGACCTCGAGTGGGACCTGGATCGAGACCGGGAGGCCGACCGGGAGGCCGACCGGGACCTCGACTTGGACCGGGATCGGGTCTTTGAAGCGGATTTTGATCTGGAGCGTGATTCTGACGGCGGGTTTGGTTTCGATTTGGAACTGGATCTTGACCTGGACCGGGCCTCCTGGGCGGCGCCAGCGTCATCCCCCTCTCCGCGGCCTTCCCTCTGGCCAGACTCCGCCTTGGCGTGATCGCGCTCCTTGGACGCGGAGCGGGACGGCGAGCGGGAGCGGGAGGCCGAATGGTCGGCATCCTCCTTCCTCTTCTTCTTGGCGCTGCCCGCCTTGCTGTCGCGCTTGCTGCCTCGCTTCCGGCTGCGCTCGCTCCTGCTCCGGCTCCCGCTGCGGCTGCGGCCGGGGCCCGGGGCTGGCGGCCCCG